CTGAACATCTAAAGATACTGGCCAAACAAATAACAGAACCACTTGCTTATATCATTAACAAATCCTTCCAATCTGGAGTATTTCCATCAGCTTTCAAGACAGCAATCATCATACCTATCTATAAATCTAATGATAATACGGACGTCACTAACTATCGACCTATTTCACTTATATCGAGTTTAGCTAAAGTTTTTGAGAAATTACTCCTTAATAAAATGATTAATTTTCTTAATAAATTCAAAATTCTAAATTCAAATCAATATGGTTTTATAGCGGGCAAATCTACAACAGATGGGGTATTAAGTATAGTAGATGAAATAACCCAAAATATAGATGGAAAAGTACCATCGATATGCGTATTTGTGGACTTACAAAAAGCGTTTGACACAGTTAACCACAATATACTTTTGGAAATCTTAGAAAGAATAGGTTTTCGTGGAAAGATGTATACTTTAATGGAAAATTATTTATCAAATAGACCGCAATCAGTAAAATTATTAAGCTCGTATAGTAAAGAAATGTTTGTTAAATGTGGTGTTCTACAGGGTACAATTTTGGGTCCTCTGTTATTCAATATTTATTTAAACGATATATTCAAAATTAACAGTACTGGTAAAATAGTCAGTTTTGCAGACGATACTGCTATACTCTATAAAGGTAAGGATTGGAACGTCTTAAAAGATATTATCCAAAATGACTTTTGCAAAATTATTCAGTGGTTTAATAACCGAAAATTAACAATTAACTTTACTAAAACTCATCTTTTACCATTTTCATCACTATCTAATCATCTACCAAAATATAACCACCTTCGGTTTAAGGTAAATGATAAAAATATAAAAATCAATAGAGTTAATGATACAAAATATTTAGGAATTTATCTAGATCCCCACTTGAGATGGGATGTACATATTTCTCACATACTAAAGAAAATTAGATTCATAGCATATAAAATAAAATTTCTCACCGGTATATTAACCCTTAACCGGAAAGGTGCCGTCTGTGAGACTGCGGCGTTTCTATACCTGAGCGTATCTTTTTTTATTGCACCTCTAACAGACGTAAAAACCCATCTAATCCATAAGCTATTAGTGACCATCGCCCACCCCCATTCACACGAGTCTAGCCAAAACGTGCCTTAAAATATGGACCAATTTTAGTTTGTTGCAGTCTGTCAGACGGCACGTTTCCGTTCCCGTTTGCTATTTGTGTTGCATAGGTGCGTTTGCGAGTATGGCGGGACCTTCTAAACGTGTACGATACGATGATCCGGAGTTCGAAGAAACCGTTCTAAAATGGTATGAGGATGAAGGAAGTGACTTTAGTGATATAGACAGTGCCTCAGAAGACGAATACATGGAATCAGATCATACAAGTGATAGTGAGTTATCAGAAGACGGAGCCGAAGGAAATGAAGAGGATTTACCAGCTCAGAATTATTTCTATGGAAAAAATCGTCATAGGTGGAATATTTCGGAAGTTGTACCATCATCACGTACAAGGAAGCACAATATAGTCATTAAAGTACCAACTCTAAGAGGAAAAGCTCATGAATATATATATATATATATATATATATATATATATATATGAAAGAGATACAAAAATCAAACCAGCAACCTAAACGACACTGATTTAGTCGAAATAAAGGCACTATTGGGTCTCTTAGTATATACATCGGTGTTCAACAGCAACCATGAGTTATAAGATCGATGCTTCGAGATCGCTTTTTAAAAAGTTTATTTTTCGAAAATACAAAACTCAAAACTGTACTTTTACAAAATTATTACAATGTTATTATGATGTTAACAGTACAAAGGCTTAAATCTGACTGACTGTAAAATGTGTTGAGAACAATAAAGTAAACTCTAGGTCTTCTAGGAAATTAGTAGCATCGTCGGCAGTATTCCTATCATATCAGCAGGAACGGCTGATATAACTCCTCCCCCCTGAGATTCAACTTCGGGGAAGAATTCTTCAAGGAAGTTGAATAGGATGAAGTTCGACTTCTGGTTGTTGAATACTTCTATTTCTCCTCTTCAAAATGGTTTTCCAGAATGCGTAGACACCCAAGAGTAATATACATCCATATATTATCAGTGTCCAGGCACTGGGTATAAAAAATTCTGTAGGTTTTTTGAAGTTGGGTTTGTTGTTGATAATGCTTGACTTGATTTTACTTAACTCGTCTAGCTTAATTTTTTCTAGATGCAGACTGAAATTTGTTTCTGTGATGTCGCCTTTAGTGTCCAGGTTTAAATCCGGGAATATTATAGGTTGGCCCGCGACAATCGTTTCGGGTTCATTTTTGATGATTTGGTGATTAATTTCGGCTTGACAGTTGACAGGAATATAAAGTAGGTAAGTTCCCGTCAATCTTTTCATTTGAATTTCTTCGTGGCATTCCATTTTGATAACTTCTGGTAGTGGCAGGATCAATACCCATTGATTAGTCCGTTGGATTCGTTCGATACTTGGCTGATTGATTATCAGTGGAGTTCGGGCACATGCAGGGGCGTTTCTTCCATTGAATAGTTCAAGTTCACAGGGTAATGGACCATTAATGTCTCGCAAGATGGTCTTCTCGCAGAGAAACTTTTTAGGAGTAATTTCAGTACAAATGTCGCCGAAAAGTGCAAAGTGCAATTCATTTTTTACCAAATAAGGCTCCTTTGGAATGATAGTCTTAAATTGACCTTCAAAATATATCGGGATTGGAAAGAGACGATATAAGTTAAATGACTCATGGTACGAGATTGGGAATGATAAAACGAATGTAATTTTGTTGCCCACAGAATAACTGGAGATTTTGATTATTTTTTCAAAAGTTGGTATGTTATCTAGTAAAACTGGAATCGCAAATTTTTCCTGGCCTAATCTTGAGCTCAATAGTTTCAGTTCACCAAAAATTTCTTCGGTTGTAATAATGCTAGAGTGAATTGTTCCAAGACGTGCAAAAATTATTGAATTTTCAACGTCTTGTAATATTGACAGAGTTACTTCGTAGCTGTTCATAATTTGAGATACTGTGTCTACTATGAATTTATGCTGATCTGAATCGATTGTAGTACGATGAACAATTGCATATATGGTATTAATTTTATTATTCAGCAATTGTTCATTATGACAGATTTGCTGAACAGTTTTATTGAACTTATCAATAAGAGATACTGACAGTGCATTATTCTGTGTGACACTGTCAGTCAATTCTCTTTGATTATTTTGAAGCTCTCGAATTAGATTTTCGAAACGTTCGCCATCATTGGCGTCAAGGTTTCCAGTTATTGATTTGAATATCGACCCAATGCCATTTAATATGCCTCTTTTTCCTCGCTTTGTATGGGGAAATATATTATGTAACTTTTGTTCTACCTGTCGCTGAACAAATTTTAATGTTCTGAAATAATTGGACAAATATGTAGTGACATTTAAATTTGAAGAAATGGTTTCTGCTATACGTGAGGAGGAAATTGATAATTTTTCAATTTCAGAAATGATGGGATTCATATCATAATAATGAATGAGTGAAAAGTCATAGTCTTTTACTTTTGCTTCACCAATTTCCACGGGAAGTAGTCCTGGATTGTTGTCGAGGTTACGTATAGTTATGCTATCCTGAAGTCCAACCGTTACTTGCAGGAATCTGCAAATGAATAATACCTACATGTATGTATGTCGTACTTGAAGAGAAACATTTAGTTGCTAAATGAATATGGTTTGCGAAGGGGACGCTTCAAATTATCGATATGTACTTTATTGTGTTTATCAGTAGTAGCGGTCTTTTTACCAGGATCGACTGATGTTAGTGTACATGATTTTTGGAATTTATTTGCATTTTTCTGACGTATATTTTTCTTAACGAATGCTTTCTGACCTGGTTGAAATATTTTTGCACTATCTCGAGCTATGTTTGCCTTTTCTATTACTTTTTCTTTATTTTGAACAAGCGCCTCGTTGCTTTTGGTATATAATAGCTTACTGCGTGCTTTGTGTTGTTCTACATAATCATTCAACAAAATTTGGTCTAAGCTGATGTCAAATGTATCTTTTTCACTGAGATGACCATTTATGACATCGATGGGTTTTAATTTAGTCACAGAATGAACAGAGTTGTTGTATGCTAAGATTGCGTATATCATTTTCATTTGGACAGATGTTTTTTGAAAGCCTTGAGTGTTTAAAATTCGGAGTTGCTCAGATATTGTCGAATGAAATCTTTCGACTACGCCATTTGACTGGGGATGGTTCGGGGAACAGAAATGTATTTCGATTCCATGTAAACCTAATAACTCGGATATGACTGAGTTTTTAAACTCGGTGCCATTGTCAGTAATAACTTGTGTCGGGATTCCATGATGGGAAAAGTATCGGATAAGGTTGTCAGCTACTTCGGTACCTGTCATTGAATTGAGATGGTAAGCTTGAGCGTACTTTGAAAAACTATCGATAATGGTCAAAAATTTAGATTTTTCAAATGTGTATGTGTCCATGTGAATTATTTCAAATGGCTTCACAGCAGTGGGAGTGATATTCATTTGCGCTTTAACAGGGTGTCTCTCGTATTTGGCTTGTTGACAGATTTCGCAGTCATTTATGTATGACTGAACGGAACTTTTCAAATTTGGCCAATAGTACTTTTGTTTTAAGCGAGAATAGGTTTCATCGATCCCGCGATGATTTGATTTCCCTTCATGATAATTTTGTATTAAACTTTTAATTTCATCATTACTAGTGATGTCTAGAAGTTTTTCAAGACACCTTTTAAACTTGATAGAGGGCCATTTAAAATACTTTTGTAAAGCGCCTGAGAAGGGTTCGTATATGTCAGGATCTTCGAAATATATATAGTATGGGACATCGGGTACAATATATTCCTTGACAAGATTTACAACATCTGATTCAAGGTTGTTCTTTGAAATTTGCACTAATAGCCGCTGTTTTCTCTCGAATAAAATTATGATTTTCGGCTTGGCGGGAGAGTGCAGGACCGTTTTAATTACGATCTGGTTTTGGCCAAAGTTCAATGGTTGGTCTGATATAGGAATTGTAACAACCGGGTGTTGATTATTAGAGTGCCGGGTTTCATCATCCTTGTCAAGTTCGTCTTCATTAGTATTGGTTTTGTCAATAACAAAAGGAAGTTCGTGGTAGTCAGTTTGTTCTGTTTCATTGTCCAAGTTGACAATCATTGAGATATCGTCTAGTTCAGGGTTAAAATTGGGGTAGCTAATATCTTGAATTATCAGTGGTGAATTTGGATTAGCTTGTGTCGTGGGAGGTGTGTTTAAATTTTGATCTACAAAGGTAATTCTTTGATTCTGATAGTTGGAGGCTTCTCCAAGGAAGTCATCGAGTTGTTCCCAAAAATCGTTAGTTTCCTTAGTATGAATTTCGATTCTAGAAAGAGCGTCAGCATTTGTATTGAGTTTGCCTTTTTTATAGATGATTTTGAAATTATATTCGTCAAGTTTCATTTTCCATCTCATTAATTTTGAGGAGACGCCTTCCTTTAATGAATAAAGGTACTGGAGGGGTTTATGATCTGTTATAATATTGAAGGTCTGCCCATAGAGGTAAGGTCTGAAATATTTGGTAGCCCACACTATAGCTAACAACTCTTTTCGGTAGTGCTGTAATTTCTTTCCGAATCATTTAAGGTTCGTGACGCATAAGCTACAGGCAAATCACTACCGATTGGACCCTGACTAAGAACTGCCCCTAAAGCTACATTGCTTGCGTCAGTTGTCAAATTGAACGGTCTTGTGAAGTCTGGGTACTGAAGTATTGGGTCGTTGGTAAGTAATGTCTTACAGTTTTCGAAACATGATACAAATTCGTCGTCGTGAACAATTTTTGCGCCTTTTTTGAGGCACTTAGTGAGAGGTTTCGTGAGTTGAGCGAAATTTGGAATAAATCGCCGATAATAGCCTAAGAGTCCTAAAAAGCTTTTTATTTGAATATTAGTTTTTGGTATAGGGAAATTTTGTATTGCTGAGATTTTGTCGGGGTTAGGTTTCACGCCTTCAGGAGTTACTATATGTCCGAGGTATGCAACCTCTTTTCTTAGAAACTCGGATTTATCTAACTGAATTTTAAAGTTAGATTCGCGTAGTCGGGTAAAGACAGATCGTAGCCTTTCTAAGTGCTCTTGAAGAGACGTCGAAAATACGATAATGTCATCGAGGTAAACGAGACATTTTTCGTTTTGAATTCCTCGGAGGATGTTATCCATCACTCGTTGGAACGTGGCTGGTGAATTTTTAAGACCAAACGGCATTCTCAAAAATTCCCAATGACCATTTTCGGTGTTAAATGCTGTTTTTTCAATGTCTTTCTCATCCATTTCTATTTGGTGAAAACCACTAGCAAGATCCAACGTACTGAAATAGTGGCATCTTCCTAGTTTGTCCAGCAGGTCGTTTATATTGGGAAGTGGATATTTGTCATCAATAGTCTTATCGTTAAGATTACGATAGTCTATTACGACGCGCCATTTCTGTTTGCCAGAGGCATCCATCTTCTTAGCCACAACCCAAATGGGCGAGCAATATGGCGAATTACTTTGCCTAATAATGTTCGATTTCAACATTTTTTGGATTTGGTCATTTACTTCTTGTCGGTGAACAAAGGGGTACCGGTAGGTCTTGGAATAAATTGGGATCTCATCAGTAGTTCGAATCTGATGTTTTATCTTGTTTGTGAAAGTTAGTGGTTCGCCTTCACGATAAAATATATCCGAAAATTCTTTGCAAAGTTTGAGGATTGCGGACTGTTCTTCTGAATTTAGGTGGTCTACTCTAATTTTGGAATAGTCTAGTTTATTTTCTGGAGAATCGTTGATATTATTAAGATCAAATTCTTGACATATCGTCGGATGTATAGACTGGTAAAATGGTTCAACAGAAAGGGGTTCAGAAAAGTCGAGTGTAACGGTATCTGTCGTATTGTTCAGTAAGGTCGTCAAAGCATAACTATCTTTCGCAATAGTCAAGCATTCCGGTATTTCACAATTATGGATTTTTTGGTGGGGTATAATAATTTCGCCATCGCTTATGGATGTTTTAACTTTTATGACAAGCTCAGTGCGAGGTTCGATGGTAACAAAATTCAAATTATTCTTAGGTTTTTGATAAAGCAACTTGATTTTTGCATACGGTGTCACAAGAAACCCTTCTTGAAATAAGAGTCTTGCCTGTAATTCTTCTAAGTTATCCATACCGATCAAACCATTGAAAAAATCATGAAACTTGAACAAGTAAAATTTTAATTCCTTTAGATGAGGCAAATTGAAAATTTTGGATGCTGGTATTAAAGTACTGAATTTATGGGCGGATTTCTGAAATACAGTCGAAACAATGAATGGTTCATTTTGATTTGTTGTGGAAAATATTTGAATGCGATGTCTGGATCTATAAATGACCTAGTAGACCCGCAGTCAATCAAAGTTTTATGTCATATTCGGGAAAAAACTATATAGCTCAATCCTTTTGTGTTGCTAGCATTGAACGATATAATTTCACTGTTTATGTCGGTTGAATAACCTGGCTGGCTGGGGGAAAATTTCCATTTCCTGACGTCGAGGTTGGGTTGGGCATGTCAAGTTCATTATTTTGATCGGTATTGTAATGATCGTATTGACAAATATTTTGGTTGGGGTCATCATAGAATTCATCGTAATTATTTTCGACGTTAGTAGCAAAATTGCCTGTATCATAAGTTTCATATGTTGCGTTATCATTTAACTCGGTGTTATACAGTTCCTCAAAGATAAAATTTTGCTGAGGTCGAGGTGTGTTCGCCGGACGTATTGTGTTTCTTGTGCTGACACTCATCGGTGTCGGCCTTGGAAGATTTCTTGGATTTGAAGAATTGGGCTTAAAAACGCTTGTATTCGGATTCTTTGTTTGTTGGTTGCCAAAGACTTCAGCGTTAGTCGGGAAACGCTGATTTAAGTTTGGCCTAGGTTGAATTTGGATGGGTTGAGATGGGAATTGCGCACGGAAAAAGCTATTAGACGTACGAGAATTAAAATTTTGATAAGGCATATTAACTGGGCGTGCAGGTCTGAACTGCGATTTTGAAAATTTGTAAAATTCTGTGAATCTGTCTTAACTCTATATGAAACGTTTTGGAAATAATGCACATTTTGTTCTTCAATCACTAATTGAAGAGCTTCGCTCAAGGATGTTGGTTTCATGCACCTGACAGTGGTGCCCAATGGTTCTTTCAAGCCTGAAAGGAAAGTCTTTAACGCAAGTTTTTGATACAAATCGCGTTTTATTGCTTTACCACTTTCGGTAGCTTCGTGGATATTAACGTAGCTACACAGATTGTTTAAAATATGCAAACATCTTTCGTGAAATTTTTGAGGGCTCTCATTTTGATATTGCTTTAGTAAGCAAAGGTCTCTATGTAAGCACACTTCATCACGTTGGTCAGAAAAACTAGTAACTAATAAAGTTTCGAGTTCACCCCAGGTGTTCACTGAATGAATGTTTATTAAAGATTTGGCATGTCCTCTCAGCTTTGAAAGAATGGAGTTCAATAAAATTGTATTTTGAAAATTGTTTGGATTGGAATGATCATAAAAATTGTCAATCAAGGATTTGCTTACACGCAAAAATCGATTGAGATCGTTACTGTTGCCGTCAAATTCGGGCACACAACTTAAGTATTCGGGCCTAAAAGTAGCCATAGTTGTAGTAATACTTGTAGTATTGAATGTACAGGGACTTGTGAAAGTATGGGCTCACGTAGTATATTAAAGTACCGTCGAGTATTTGGAGAGTCAGTATTAAGGTCCAAATTCTCAAGGGCTTGCGATATATCAATACTCATTGAAATTTGAAGCGATAAATGGAAAAAAATAAACTGCACTTACAACACTAAGAAAGCGATCTTTAGCATCTCTTACTCCTATAAAGATCCTAGCTGGTTCTGCAATGTTGTCTTCCCCAGGCTGGAATCCTTGCGAACTTGGGCAATGTGGTCCCAAATTCCGATGCCCTTCGTATGTAGCTGTTCACGCCGGTTCCTCGATGGATTGGGTATCCAAAAATATGAATCCACTCCAGTGCTCACTGCCACTACACGAATGCCACCAAGTCCAAAAAGGCCGGATAGAGTCCCGAAAAGTCCCGTCGCGACGGTTTGCGAAAGTCTTTCCCGGGTCGCGTATTTCTGATCCTACTGGATTGACTGCGCCAGTTATAAGATCGATGCTTCGAGATCGCTTTTAAAAAGTTTATTTTTCGAAAATACAAAACTCAAACTGTACTTTTACAAAATTATTACAATGTTATTATGATGTTAACAGTACAAAGGCTTAAATCTGACTGACTGTAAAATGTGTTGAGAACAATAAAGTAAACTCTAGGTCTTCTAGGAAATTAGTAGCATCGTCGGCAGTATTCCCATATTACATTAAA